GTTCACTATCTGAGGTGATACGTCTGCGCGTCCGCCATGTTGGAGAGGTCATGATCCGCTCGTAAACAAATGCACTGTATTGAGAGACGATGAGTCTCAGGATTAAATCGGCCACAACTTCCTTATTACTCAACCGATTTTCGTCAGATTTGTTTTGTTATAATCCTCAGACACAGATTAATGCAGGCTGCACAGATCTGCCTTCACTAGCTTTTATTTCTGATTAATAGTTGTGACTGTGCTGGTTTGCCGTCCGGAGCAGCAGGAGAGTATACAGTCTGCGTCTGATGTTAAAAAGTTTAGCATGAGCTCCATTAAGAAACGCAATCACATATCTATGTATGTCTCTCTTCTGTATGTAGGTATGAGCTTCCGTTAGCTTGTTAGCTGCATTAGCCTTGTAGCTCTAGTGCTACAACTAAAGAAGCAAAATTCAGACACCAAACGTTTCCTGATGGGCTACATTTGGGGTGATGAGAGAAAAACTGAAGAATCTAAATATTTGGCTGAACTGTCGCTTGATTGCGATTGTGCTGCTGTGTTCCTCTCTCAGCTGTGAAGAACCCGGAGCTGGTGGCGGGACGTGGAGGTCTGAGCACTCTGCTGAAGAACGTTCTGGACTGTCAGCACAGCCGCATCAACGAGGCTCTGATTTCTACAGTGCTGCACCTGCTGAACCACCCGCAGACGCGGCAGTACGTACGGGCGGACGTGGAGCTGGAGGTACACGCAGACTGCACTGCGCTGAATATCACAGCAGCAGATTGTAGATATTTCTCCAGAGTTTCACAGACCCTCTGCAGTTCAGGCTTCCTCCTGCATGGTGTCACTTCAGGTCGTTGGATTATGGCAGGTTCACGCTGTGCCGGAATCACCGTGCAAAAAAATGTGAATTGTCAGAATCTGCAGATCTGAGATCATAAACAGACAGACATTCAGGAGCTTTAAGGTCATTTAGAGCTTTAAAAACCAGCAGCAGAGCTTTAAACTCTCTCTAACAGATCCAGGCAGTCAGTGCAGTGTGTAACGGGGTGATATGAGCTCTCTGTGTTGGTGCTGTGAGGATCCGTGCTGCTGCGTTCTGTACGGGTTCTAGAGGATGGACTGTTTTCTCCAGTAAGAAGATCATTACAGTGATCAACTCTGCTGAACAAACGCAGCAACGAGTTTCTCTGCGTCGCTCTGAGAGAGAAAAGGCTGAACTTTAGTGATTTTCTCACATGATAAAAAGCTGCTTTAGTGACTGTTTACATGCAGATAAAACAGAGCTCAGAGTCTAAGATCACACCCAGGTTTCTACTGCACTTTCTCATAAAGGTTCTGTACCAAAAATCAATATTTCAGTTTTTTCATGATTTAATTGTAGAAAAGCTGGTTAGTCTGTCTACAGAGTCTTGATCATCAGAAGGAATAGTAATGTATAACTGGGTGTCATCAGCTTAGCTATAAAATTTATACTATGCCTCCTATTGACATCTCCTAGAGGTAGCATGTACAGAGTGAAAAAGCAAAGGCCCTAAAACTGAACCCTGAGGGACTCCACAAGAAACGGCAAATCTTTTTGATGAATGATTTTTGTTTTGTTTTGTGTCTTTCAGCAAATTTTGGCACCTTACACAGACTTCCACTACAGACACAACCCAGACACAACAGAAGCACAGCTGAAGTGAGTCACCGAGCTTTTCTTGTCTGTGTTTTGTCTGTGTGACTGTGTTTGTTTGTGCTGTAGAGTCTCTGTGCTGGTGTCTGTGTTTATTTTTAATGTTTGTGTTTGCGTAGGGCGGATCGTGAGGCTCGGTTCTCGGCCAGTAAAATGGCCATCGTGGCTGCGTTCCGCTCGTGGTCAGGTACTGTGAATTAAAATCACTCAGAACACTGACGTATTAACGTCCCTACACTGCTAAAAAACATGGTTCTTCAAGGGTTCTTTAGTAAAGACAGTGAATATATATAGAAAACACTCAGAGAACCATTTGCATGCTTAAAGGGTTCTTCTGTTGTTACAAGCTTGACATCATATAGAACCATATGCAACCTTTTCATGATGCAAAGAACCCTTTAAGCATGCAAATGATTCTCTGAGTGCTCTTGGTTCTACATAGAACCGCTGATCTTTATTAAAAAACCCTTGAAGAACCGTCTTTAAGAGCGTATATTTATACTGTTAGTGTAGAAACAAACTGTGTATTATTCCTGTATTTATTTACTCTCTAATCTCTGTTTCTCTGTATTATTTATTATTATTTCTGTATTATTTACCTTCCTAACCTCTGTATCGTTCTTCTTCCCTCTCTTTCAGGTATTATTAACCTGTGTAAAGTGGGAAACTCAGGAATCCAGTCTCTGATTGGTCTGCTCTGTATACCAAATATGGAAATCAGGGTGAGATGATTTTTGAAAGTCACCGTTTTGAAGGTTTTCATCCTCCAGACAAAAACAAAAGATTTCTCCCTCTTTCCACAAGTGGAGTCGATCAGTCAAAGTGTGTTTATCATTGAAATTTGCTTCTTGGGTTTTAACTAATGAAATAGAAATTTATAGAACACCAATTAGCATCATGCTGAATCCTCACACTCATCTCAGTCTGTGTGGAGGTGCTCAGTAAACCCTAGTAGACCTGACAGTGAGGTTTCTGACGCTGTATGACTCACTGATATAAACATGCTTGGCTAATGAACTGATCGACTCCAATGAGGAGAACTGTGTAACAGGGTGAGGCGTTTGTGTGTTTGGGTGTGTGTTTTGTGCAGAAAGCCCTGTTGGAGGTGCTCTATGAAATCTTCCGGCTGCCCGTTCCCATGGTTACGGCTGAATTTGAGGAAGCTCTTCACAGCATCGGTATGAAACAGCAGCATCTCACACCACAGACACAAGGGGGCGCCATCCAGCACATCACAATTAGATCTGAATTAGATTCAGCTTATTATAAAGATTCAGATTTTACATTATTTATATTACATGGTTTTTCTTTGTAAAGCACCTGAAGGACGTAGCTTGTAACTCACTCACTGACGTTGGTGGTTCTCCACAGGGGGGCGCTGTTTGCACTATCTTTAGTGCTTTATAAGAAGCATGCCTGTCATCACTGATGCTGTATGTCCTTGTTGGTTTCTGTAGCCTGTATTTGTGTGTTTTTCCATCTTTACACATAATATTAGCTGATTTTGACTGCAGTTCAGATGCAGCACAGTTGTGGCATCTTTTCTCACCGTCTGATGGGTTGAAACCCAAACAAAATTTAAAAGGAAAGAAAAAGAAAATGCATTTTTTAATCTATTCCTTTTTACAGTACGTCTGCAGTTGAATTTGTGTGTGAAAAGTGTGATAATCTCCTGTAAACTGAGGTCCTAGAAGTCTAGCATATCCACCTTTTCAGGCCTGAGGCTCAAACATTAACTCACCACACTGCCAGTTTGTTGTGATTGTGTTCAACACAGCACATGGGTTGTTTCTGATTGGTCAATCTCATCTATTGGGTTACATATTCCCACACAAAATTAGTTAAGACAGCGTCTTCAATAATGTAGGCCGCCATAAAAATTACGGTAACACTTTACTTGAAGGGCATCTACATAACACATTCATAACATCTTACATAAACACTTCATAGCACGGTAATAAATGTTTAAATCAACATTCATAAAGTGTACACTTTTTACATGATATTAATATGGACTACTGTGACGTTTTACAGAGATGCAATTTTCAAAATAAAAGTCCTCATTTTTATTTTGAAAAAGTATATTATTTACAATAAAACACATTTCTGGGCAGTGAAAGTCAAAAATGACCTTGTTTTATCCTTCATGTCATTAAGTGCTCTGACACTGTGGCACATTTCACGTATACTTTCAACGTCTTTTTAATTATTTGTTTTTTTTTCTTAAGCATTTGTTGCTTTACTTGTCACTTTGCTACATGAACATTAAATCACTCATAAATATACTAGGAACAATCATTTGACTGAATCTTGGTGAGGTGATGGGACTTTTGGGGGTGTTTTCAGGGTGATGCAGCCACATCAATGTAAGTAGATACTTTACATTGCGATTTTAAAGATCCATTTCAGTCTGATTAGCTTCCATCACTTTTCAGGTAAAGACAAAACACAGTTTATCAGTCTTTTGGGATAAAAGTGCAACATGTAGCTTCAAAGAGTGTCAATTAAACAAGATAACCAATGCACTATTATACTTGTGCCTTCTCCAAAACCATAAGCGAGGAAGAGCATCACTAACAGTGCTAACGTTTCCCCAAGAGGGGTAAATTTAGGATAAGGAACGTTTTCCTCAACAGTGTACAGACTGTTGAATTCTCCCTTTAGCACAATAAAATTAAAGAACACATAAAAAGAAGAAGAAGTGCAAAACAGAAATGCTTAAGAAGAAACAAATCATGTAAAAGAAGTTAAAGTAGAGGCAAAATGTGCCTAAGTGTGAAAGCACTGAATGACCAAAGGAGTGAAAGAAGGTCATTTTTATTTCTGTCCAGAAATGAGACATTAACAGCGTCAAAGCACGACCCGTTCTTTACAGCCAGTCAGGATGAAGTCTGTACTGGTTCACAGTCCCTCAGGAGAGCGTGATAGATGGTGTTAGATGGTGAACTCTCTTTATTTTCTGTTTTACTGTGTGTTTAGATAGTTTACTGTTGGAGTTTAACGCTGGCCCTCACTTCACTGTCCACTCTAACTGTGTTTGCAGACCCCAGCAGGCCTCAGGACAGCTGGAGGCTGGGAGATGGGTTTGTAGCTGCTGAGGCCAAAGTCCTCCTCCCTCACAGAGCCAGATCACGGTGAGAGCCTTCACTCACACTCTGCTCACACACGAGCGATAGAGAGAGCGAGGCAGAGAGCGAGGCAGAGAGACGAAACATAACACACATACACAAACGCAAACACACCTCTGAGCATCGCCATGTTCTGAAACGTCACTGCACAATTCATAACCCAACACTAGCGCACACAGACTGAGACAGCAGGGGGCGCTATAGCAACAGAAACTTCGGACTAAACTGTCTTATACGGCCTGCCTGCTTTCTCATGCTCAGCCGTTAGAGCAGCACAGCAGATGGCGTCTCTGTGGCAGAGCTGCTGCACTCGTGTGAACATACTGTCGCTGTCGGAGACGAATTCAAACCTTGTATCTCCATTTCTTTGTTTTTGGTGTCTCTCTCTCTCTCAGGCCAGACCTCCTGGATAACTACCTGGCCCTGATCCTGTCCACCCTCATCACCTGCGGCCTGCTGGAGGTACACACACCTTCCCACTCTGCTCATGTTCTCACACATTCACACTTGTGATGTCTCCCCTGTGCTGTCTGTGTGTGAGTGACGGTGAGACGTCTCCTCTGTGCTGTCTGTGTGTGAGTGATGGTGAGACGTCTCCCCTGTGCTGTCTGTGTGTGAGTGACGGTGAGACGTCTCCTCTGTCCTGTCTGTGTGTGAGTGATGGTGAGACGTCTCCTCTGTCCTGTCTGTGTGTGAGTGACGGTGAGACGTCTGTGTGTGAGTGACGGTGAGACGTCTCCCCTGTGCTGTCTGTGTGTGAGTGGCGGTGAGACGTCTGTGTGTGAGTGACGGTGAGACGTCTCCTCTGTCCTGTCTGTGTGTCAGTAACAGGGAGACGTCTGTCTGTGTGTGAGTAACAGTGAGACATCTGTCTGTCTGTGTGAGTAGCAGTGAGACGTCTGTCTGTGTGTGAGTAGCAGTGAGACGTCTCGGTGTGAGAGTAACAGTGAGATGTCTGTCTGTGTGTGAGTAGCAGTGAGACGTCTGTCTGTGTGAGTAACAGTGAGACGTCTGTCTGTCTGTGAGCAGGGTCTGGTGGAGGTGGTGACGAGCAGTGATGATGTCCTCTCAGTGAGAGCCACAGTCCTGCTGGGGGAGCTTCTGCACATGGTACACTTTAATTGATTACTCTGATTAAACAGTGATCAGCTCTTATTGATCTGAATCCCTCCAGCCCCAAAACACGCTGCGTCCAGCGGACAGGGGAATGGGCATCTAATATACAGAGCTTTTTCCACATTTGCCCCAGTTTTCACTCATGTTCCCCCCATTTGCCCCAGTTTTGTCCATTCCCCACCCATCTTCACCCCGTTTCCTCCATTTACCCCACATTTTCCCCCAATTTTATCCTTTCCCCTCCCATTGTCAGCCCATTTCACCCAGTTTCACGTTATTTTCCCCAGTTTCATCTATTCCTCCATTTCCCTAGTTTCACTAAATGGAATTACAGTGGTGTGAAAAAGTGTTTGCCCCCTTCCAGATTTCTTATTCTTTTGCATGTTTGTCGCACTTAAATGTTTCAGATCACCAAACAAATTTAAATATTAGACAAAGATAACACAAGTAAACACAAAATGCAGTTTATAAGTGAAGGTCTTTATTATTAAGGGAAAAAGAAATCCAAACCTACAGGGCCCTGTGTGAAAAAGTGATCCCCCCCCTTAAAACATAAATTAACTGTGGTTTGTCACATCTTTGGAAAGCTGAGTTCAATTTCCCTAGCCACACCCAGGCCTGATTACTGCCACACCTGTTCTCAATCAAGAAATCACTTAAATACAACCTGCCTGACAAAGTGAAGAGGACCAAAAGATCCTCAACAGCTAGACATCATGCTGCGATCCAGATAAATTCAGGAACAAATGAGAAACAAAGTAATTTAGATCTATCAGTCTGGAAAAGGTTATAAAGCCATTTCTAAAGATTTGGGACTCCAGCGGACCACAGTGAGAGCCATTATCCACAAATGGGGAAAACATGGAACAGTGGTGAGCCGTCTGACCAAAATGACCCCAAGAGCTCAGCGACGACTCATTCAAGAGGTCACAAAAGACCCCACAACAGCATCCAAAGAACTGCAGGCCTCACTTGCCTCAGTTAAGGTCAGTGTTCATGACTCCACCATAAGAAAGAGACTGGGCAAAAATGGCCTGCATGGCAGAGTTCCCAGACGAAAACCACTGCTGAGCAAAACGAACATAAAGGCTCATCTCAGGTTTACCAGAAAACATCTTGATGATCCCCAAGACTTGTGGGAGAATACTCTGTGGACTGACGAGACAAAAGTTGAACTTTTTGGAAGGTGTATGTCCCGTTACATCTGGTGTAGAAGTAACACAGCATTTCAGAAAAGCAACATCAAACCAACAGTAAAATATGGTGGTGGTAGTGTGATGGTCTGGGGCTTTGCTGCTTCAGGACCTGGAAGACTTGCTGTGGTAAATGGAACCATGAATTCTGCTGTCTACCAAAAAATCCTGAAGGAGAATGTCCGGCCATCTGTTCGTGACCCCAAGCTGAAGCGCACTTGGGTTCTGCAGCAGGACAATGATCCAAAACACACCAGCAAGTCCACCTCTGAATGGCTTAAGAAAAACAAAATTAAGGCTTTGGAGTGGCCTAGTCAAAGTCCTGACCTGAATCCCATTGAGATGCTGTGGCATGACCTTAAAAAGGCGGTTCATGCTCGGAAACCCTCCAGTGTGGCTGAATTACAACAGTTCTGCAAAGATGAGTGGCCAAAATTCCTCCACAGCGCTGTAAAAGACTCACTGCCAGTTATCGCAAACGCTTGATTGCAGTTGTTGCTGCTAAGGGTGGCCCAACCAGTTATCAGGTTTAGGGGGCAATGACTTTTTCACACAGGGCCCTGTAGGTTTGGATTTCTTTTTCCCTTAATAATAAAGACCTTCATTTATAAACTGCGTTTGGTGTTTACTTGTGTTATCTTTGTCTAATATTTAAATTTGTTTGGTGACCTGAAACATTTAAGTGTGACAAACATGCAAAAGAATAAGAAATCAGGAAGGGGGCAAACACTTTTTCACACCACTGTATGCATATAAAAACAAATATATAAGCTTATAGATTTATGCAGATATGCACACTGATATAATTTTTTCTCTCTCTCTCTCTCTCTCTCTCTCTGTCTCTAGGCTAGCTCTCTCCTCCCACATTCCCACAGTCACCACCTACACTGTCTGCCGACTCTCATCAACATGGCCGCCTCCTTCGACATCTCTCCTGAGAAACGACTGTGAGTTTAACATTACGCACCTTTACCTGCCGTCATTGCTTCACTGCAGTAAAGCAGCTTTACTGAGGTGTGGCTTCAGGACATTCTACATCATATTACAGCTGAACAGTCTATGGCTGTGTTTACATGCAAAGATTCTGAATCTTTGATTCAATGTATAACATGTAATCCGAATGAATACATTCTGATTACATGTTAAGACTGAGGTGTTTATTCTCACTCTGTTCAACAATCTGATGGAAAAGTCTTCGTTTACATATGCACTACAAGTAATCCGATGCAAAATGACGCACATGCGTGGAGTAGCGTTTAGAGTAAACGTTACCATGACAGCGAACATCACGTGAGGTCCACTCAGAGTGAGATGAGCAGCAGTGAGCAGCGCTTGTGTTTTTAATGACTTTAAAATGATGTCAGACTCAGGAAAACGTCCTTCACATGTCCTTATTAAAGAAGGCCGAGAGGAAGGCGTCGTGTTCTGAGACACATAAGCTGGACGTCCGTCCCACCGTCGTCTTTTAAAGATCAGAGCATAAACTTCGTCTCCTCTGCAGACCAGTTTCTGCTCCGCCATGTTGAACGGTATAAACTTTCACTATGACGCGACGAACATGATCAGAGCGGACTTAAACTTTCCGATAGGGAATGTAATCAGATACAGGCGTTTACACGGATATTACTCTTCTATTTAACAGATTATTTACAGGATTACCCACCTCGATCAGTCGGATAGAAACTGTATTCTGAATGGCCTCAATCGGACTAGACTATTCCGATTGAGCTATTAGCCGGATTATTAACGGATTATCAGGCTGCATGTAAACCTGTCTTATCATTATCACAGTATCACAGTGTCTGAGTATTACAGTATTACAGTATTACAGCATGCTGTGGGTGCTGTGAGCATCCTGATCACTCTTATTGATTATTACTCTCAGTACAGCGCTCATTTGGCGACTAGGTAGCATTAGTTATGCATCTAATTAGAATTCATCTTTAGTAATGATTTCCTTTTATTGTTCATAAATGAGGAACCAGTCACGTCACATTTCAGAGGCACGGTGCATAACAAAGTATTTTACACAGAAAGAGCACATTTCGTTTAAGAAAGATGTACCACATAAAGCTGGTCGCCTGAGTCGTCAGAGTACCATGCATTCTGTATTTTCGCACGCTACCTGTTTTTTATTTCCAGGAAGTGTTTAAGCAGATCTGAGGTGGTCAGTTTGAGTGTGTTTGTTTTCCGGGTTCAGTTTTATTCTGATCTGATCTCTCAGTGTCGGTTCAATCCCGTCCTGTTCGGTTCTGACTGCAGTGCTGCTCTCTAGCTGTAGCACAGTGGTTGTCCTGCTGTAGCGGTGACTGTGATGTGGTTTGTTCTGTTGTACAGCTGAGCTGTGTTGTGTGTTGATGTGTACCCGGGGTTTGTGTTCGGTGCTGCAGGCGAGCCAGTGCGGCGGTGACCCAGCTGAAGCGTCTCCACGAGCTGAAGAAGCGCAATCCTAAACCACACAGCCTTTACCTCCAGCTCATCCTGCAGCAGAGCTCGCACAGAGACTCCCACCGCTCTCACAGAGACGCCTACGTCATTAAGGTAACAGACGGACACACCTTAAAACCATAGCTCAGCTAAACCCCCACCGTTACCCCAGATACAGGCAGGCAGCAGAGACGTGTTTGGTGTCTGAAGTTTGAAGTTTGATTTTTTGGTTCTAGCACTGAAGCTACAAGGCTACTGTAATGTAATGAAAGCTTATACCTCACCTGATTAGCATGTTGCTAACTGCGTGCCTACATTTTCACATATTCTCCTCAAAGCATGTGGAGGTGTTCAGTATCTCTAATAGACTTGATTTATGTGGTTTCTGTCACTCTTTATGTAGGGCTGCATGATACAGACATAAAATAGTGTTCATGGTGTTGAATATTGCGATGACTGTGAGATTTTAGCTTATAATTTTGTTTTTTTTGCTTGTTTTTTTGTTTTTGTTGTATAAATAAGTTTCTCTTTTTAAAAATTGCAAAAAAATAGAAAAGCACCATTTATTACTGTGCAAAATAAAAATTGTGAAACATTAATAGCTACTTAAGTTTTGTGCACTGTTTGGTTGAAAAGCATTGAGCATTCCCTGAACAGCCTTTTTTTATATAGTGCTATAAAATTATTTTTTCTGAACTTTTCAGAAAATTCAAGCACAGAAGTGTATATCACTGCTGTCGGAACAAAATCCTTGTATATCCGTTTTTTTTTTGTTATTCAGTTTTTGACCAAATTTGAAAATACCTGTTGTCCTTTACATTGTGTTTAATTTTTGTGATGATCAGACTAAAAGAAACAGCCCAAAATGAAAAGGCTGGTTACATCGACCTGCATTAAAAGGAAAGTGTTTTGTTTTTTTTCCTCCCCTCCTTCTCCTATAAATTTACCATTTTGGAGATACAAGGTTTCATTCTGACATCAGGGATATATTTAATTCCTTAAAAATCGCCTATGGTGATGCACGTTTGTTGTAACAGTAGTGATTACTGCCTCCTGTATATAACCCGTGGCACCGAGAGTCAGAATATTGATCAGGTTTATGGTATTATTACACGCTAACGGTTCAGAGTAATACGGAGCCCCACTGGTAACATCCTGTATGAATAAAAAATAATGCGTGGCCACAACTTAAGAAGGTGTGGGAACAAGATAATTAAGTCGTGGCCACACCTTATTAACGTGTGGGAATGAGATCCTAATGTGTGGCCATGACTTAGTAAGGTGCGGGAACAAGATCATGGCTTACTAAGTCATGGACGATCTCGTTCCCATGCCTTAATAAGGCGTGGCCATGAATTACTTTTATTTGTATGTGATGTCACCAACAGGGCTCCGTAGAATAAAGTTGCCTGTATATTTGCAACTTTGCTGAGTGGTTAAGTTAGCCGTTTTCCAGGTGAGATCAGGGTTCAGGTCCAGTGCAGGGAAGGTGTTGCTCGCTCTGATGCTACATTCACACCAGTTAGATCACATCACCATGGCACTGCGCATGACCCTCAATAATGTAGTCGTCATGGAAACTTATAATGCAATAACAGTAAAGATGTGCAGCCCCACTGTCTTTAACAAATGGATGGAAATTCAGACTTTTTTGTGTGTTTTTGTGTTGTAGGACACTGAAGATGCACTGATGATGAATCTGAGGGACAGTCAGATCCTCAACCACAAACAGAACCTGGAGTGGAACTGGGTTCTCATCTCTACTGTACTGAAGGTAACCCACATACACACTTTCATTCTGTACCAGAGCAGATCTGCTCCCTCTGAGGCCTTATTGGTCTGTAAAAGCAGAGGATCCTTTGGTTCAACATAAACAGTAAAGGACAATCACAGGTTATTAGTGTTAGTGGAGACTTTAGTCACTGATGACTGTAGAGCCGGCTGTGGTGATAGGAAACAAATTATATTTTTATCGTTCTCACAATATGCGTTTCCGCGATAAACGCATCGTGAGACAGAACAGATCTGATTACTTCATATACACAGCGCCAGAGAGACATTACAGCAGAAAACACTAGAAGATTAATGAGAGCTTTTCTGTGCTGGGATTGAACTCTGCTCTATTGTGTGTGACTTAACCATCAGGCTAAACAGCCAATTACAGAAAAAGCTCAAGCTTGTGTTGTAAGTGTGTGAGGCAGTAAAGATTGTCACAACAAACATTTAATAACTAAACAAAACAAATAAACAAAAATTTGTGTATGTTCTTGTGTGTCTATGTGTAGAGTTATTTACTATTTTGCCTTTTGCTAAGCAAAATGAAGTCTGTACTTGTGTAACATCCAGTCAGAGGTGTATTATTTTAGTAACAATTTATTGCTTCTCATATCGTCAACCTGATATCCAGCAGCTTTATCGAACATCGCATTTAATGTCCATATTGTACAGCCCCAGTCCTCATATTCCAGTAACCATGTGGAAAATAACTGCGGTAATCAGTGAGGCTGTTTCTTTTGCTGAACCTTTTTGTCCGGTAACTTCGGAGACACTGTGGACTCTGGATCAAACAGTGATGGCATCTTAGTATCTGTGAAATAAGAGAGTATTAGAGCTCAGCTCAGTGAGAGTTGTGGGTTTAGTTTGTTTTCATCTTTCTTTTAGGAATGTAACTAATTATTCTAGTAATAAAGAGTGGAAATGTGGATGTCGCACAAACTTTACTGTCTGATGCCTCTTAGCTGAACCTGACGCTTCTTCTCTGAAGCCGTTTAGTCTGACGCTCTAATATTCTCACACTGCAGTGGCCAAACTCAAACCTCAGGAACTACCGGGATGAGCAGGTGCACAGGTAAGAAAACTCCTTAACTGTTTCTGCCCAAAACTCCTACTAGTTACAGGTTTACAAGCTGAATGAAACGTCGCATTTGACCAACCTGACAGCTACATGAAGCATATCTGTTATGTACAGATGATTCTGCTGAACTGGTTCAGAGTCAGAGCTGAAACACATTCTGGACTTAACTGATCTTGGACTTCAGACTAAAATCCTTTTGCTCTGAGTGACTCTGTACCTTAATTATGATTAAAACTAACGATTCAGCATTCAGAAACAATCATAACTCTACCCAAACTTTACCAAACGTTTCAGTGGTAACTGTTTCGGTGACAATTTTAGCTCATTTTGAGCTCAAAAACGCTGCCAGTACATGATCAGCAAACACAGCTTTAAACAGCTGTTTTTTTTAGTTCTTTTATTTTTGATTAAAACACTAAACTGAAAATGGTGTTTCGGTAGTGACAATTCTTAACGTTCCAAACTGATTTTCAGACTTTGGGACACATTTACCTCAAAACAAAGAAAAAAAAAAACAAATTAAAAAATCCAAAAAAATGTATCTGGGACAGACACCTCTCAGCAGGAAGTGTTCTATAAATTATAATTTCATATATATTTAGCTCATTTCTATGTCCACTAATGTCATGGGTTTACATAGGTCAGAACATAATCCTTATAAATATATAAGATCTGAATACTTCGTTGCTTTGGGTTTTTTTTAATATATTTTTTTATTATTGTGGGACTGCAGTTTGAACTAATCCAGTAGATTGGTCAATAAATACTGTATATCTTCCAGCTCTACTGGGCAGTGGTGTGATGGTTGGTTACTGGTTTTCAGACAAGTTTAAAGTGACTTTTAATGTGAAGTCCTAACACGAATCCTAACACGGCTGTGTCTGTGTAGGTTTGTGCGCAGGTTGCTGTATTTCTATAAGCCTAGCAGTAAACTGTACTGTGTTCTGGAGTTGGAACATCCTAAAGCTCCTCAGCTCACTTCGGCTGGCTGCCAACTCATCAACTTCCTGCTGGACTCTGAAGACGTGAGTGTATCACTTTATATCACAATACCTACATTTAGAGTCGTTTATTAATTCAGCCTAATGAGAAACTGTAGAACAGACTCAGTTTATATCACAATACCTACATTTAGAGTCGGTTATTCATTCAGCCTAATGAGAAACTGTAGAACAGACTCGGTTTATATCACAATACCTACATTTAGAGTCAGTTATTCATTCAGCCTAATGAGAAACTGTAGAACAGACTTAGTTTATATCACAATACCTACATTTAGAGTCGGTTATTCATTCAGCCTAATGAGAAACTGTAGAACAGACTTAGTTTATATCACAATACCTACATTTAGAGTCAGTTATTCATTCAGCCTAATGAGAAACTGTAGAACAGACTTAGTTTATATCACAATACCTACATTTAGAGTCAGTTATTCATTCAGCCTAATGAGAAACTGTAGAACAGACTTAGTTTATATCACAATACCTACATTTAGAGTCAGTTATTCATTCAGCCTGATGAGAAACTGTAGAACAGACTCGGTTTATATCACAATACCTACATTTAGAGTCAGTTATTCATTCAACCTAATGAGAAACTGTAGAACAGACTCAGTTTATATCACAATACCTACATTTAGAGTCAGTTATTCATTCAACCTAATGAGAAACTGTAGAACAGACTCAGTTTATATCACAATACCTACATTTAGAGTCAGTTATTCATTCAGCCTAATGAGAAACTCTTTCTCTCTTACACACTCCAGGATGGTCAGGTGTATCTGGAGGACTTGGTGAAGGATATTGTCCAGTGGCTCTCTTCCTTTTCTGGGATGAAGTCTGAGCGCAGTCTCCAGAGTAACGGTCTACTGAGCATGCTCAGTCAGCACTACTTCCTGTTTCTGGGTACGCTGTCTGGGCAGCCTTCGGGAGTCAAAACGATGGAGAAATGTGGAGCGTTTCAGTGGTGAGAACGCGCTCCCATTGGCCTGGTGTTGTACTTTACAGACTGTGAGCACAGATAGAGGATCGGTTTTTACCTTCTCCTCCCAAAGCACATAAACACAGACGTTCAAACAGCAGTTATAACTGGGGTCTTATGTAAAGTAACTCCATATGAATATATACTTGCATGAGATGAGATGTTATTAGTCATAGTTGCTTGATTAAAATCGTTTATTTGATTTAAAAACAAATCGATTACAATCTCAGTGCTCTCAGTTAACTGCTCTCACATGACTAGTCAAGCTCAAGGTCATGTGATTCAGTCACAGATCAACACATGACCCTGAGTGTTGTATTGCTTAATTATCTTTATTGTGCAGTTGGCTTGATAGTGTAGCCAACGCTAATTATGTGTCTAAAACAAATCATGTCATTGTTAAAAGCTTGTTTGTGTGTGTCTGTAGTCTGTTGAACCTGTGCTCAGTGAAGAATCAGGATGCCCTGCTGAAGCTGACCGTGTCCTCGCTGGACTACAGCAGGGACGGACTGGCCCGGATCATTCTGTCCAAAATCCTCACCGCTGGATCTGATGTAAGAAACCACTGTTACTCATTACCGTTACGCTGGGAGAGGCCTCGTTACGGCTACCCTGGGAAGGGCTTCGTTACGGTTACGCTGG